GACCAGCACTGTTTCTAAGCACAGGGCAATTCCAAGACATACAATCAGAGGCTCCAACAAGCCTGCTCTTTGGAAAGGACATTTACAATCTGGCCAAATGGCCATGAAAAGAGGTTTCCAGCTGTAAACCAGCAGCGTCCTCAGCTTCTCCCCTTACCTCATCAGGCATGAACCTCTGCCAAGCTCGCAGCTGCAATCCAAATGCAACAGCTTGAAGTTTAACAATGTATTTAACAGCCCAGAGACAGAACATGGGTTTGCTGAGTACAAGCAGATCTTGCTAGACACTAATCAAGAAGCTGCTGGCCTGTGAAGGAGCAAAACCTATTAGAATAGGGCGCCCCCCCAGTGGTCCTGCCTCCCAGCGGTGTGGCCAACTCTGGGACGGCAGAGCCAAGAGGACCTGTGAGCTGTGCAGAGGTGCTTAAGTACTTAAGCAGACAGACGTCCAATAGGCCCAGAAACTGACCTTCCCACAAGGCTGAGAAGCACCCTTGTCTCCTTACCTGATGTCAGGCCTCGGTCATCATCTGCGCTCCCTGCCTGCACTCAGTCATCTCATCTGGTGCACCCTCCATCCCCCAACCTCTGTTCTACAAAGTAGCCAGCATGGCTTACTGCAGCTCCTTTGGTCTCTCCCCACTGCCCTTGGGATAAAGTCCAAACTCCTTAATCCCCAAGGCCTTTTTGACTCTGTATGACACGGCCCTATGGCCCTCTCCAGCCCCATCTTATGACTCTAGTTTCCCAGCCTCAGATGCTACCTCACATGGAAAATCTTCACTGAGGATTCTCTTCACTGAATCCTAGATGTCCATCTATATCTATATCCTTGTACATCTATATCCATCAGGTATATGAACACGTTGACTTGTACTTTCCACCTGGGTACCATCAAAACTACAAAGCCTCCTGCTTCAGTAGCTAGGCAATGAAGTAACAGAGAAGGCTGTAAAAATCAACACGCAGGGGTGCCTGGGTGGCTCTGTCAGTTGAGCAGCAGACTCAGGTCACAATTTCACCGTTCATGAGTTTGAGCTCCATGTCGGGCTCTGTGCTGACAGCTCAGAACCTAGAGCCTGCTTTGGATTCTGTGTCTCCTATTCTCTCTGCCCCTCCCTTGCTCACGCTGTCTCTGTCTCTCAAAACTGAATAAAAGTTAAAAAAAAATTTAAAAAGCAGTCCCAGAAGAACTACACATAAAATACAGTGAGGAGTTGGCAGTCTAAGTGAGACTAACTCATAAGGAACTACACGTGAGGACAAAACCCACACAGCACTATATAGGATGCCTCTGATGTACTGCCTCACACTCTCATGGCCTCAACAGTCTCCTGGGCCCTGGGTCTCTTGCTGGGCCTTAAACCCAGTGAAGGCAACCGTACAGGCCCCAAATCTCTGGCTCCTCCTCCTGCTTCCAAACTCCACAAGGGTGCCACACTGGCCTCACCAGGGGCTGTTAGAGGCCTGGTAGTGCAACCAAGAAGCCAGAGGGAGAGAACTCCTATGAGGCAACTCTGACCAATGAAGACAAGAAGACAGGAGGAGGTCAGCAGATAAATTCCCTCTCCAGGCTTTGGATGACAAACTGTTCTGCAGCATGGGGTTTCTGTAGAGATCGCCTAGAGATATCTGGCATAGTTGAACAACGACTACATCTCTTTGCAAACGGGCCAGCTTGCTTCCATCTTTCCCTCCCTCTGGTTTCTCTTCCCTTATCCTTGCTGCCCTGCACTTTCCAGTAAGGCATTAAACACTTAAGCTCTGCTTCAGGCTCTACTTTTTTGGGAACTAAGCCAATCACTATTAATATTTCCAAAAATCTTTCATTTGTACCATCTCATCCTCACCAAAGCCTTGTAAACTAGATAGTCATCTCAATTTCAGATATAGAAGCTAGGTAAATGGGGCTGAGAGAAGGTTTTCTGCATACCTGGCATGCTACCACCAATCAATGGCAGAGCTGAGACTCAAGCCCGAAACACACTTTCTGCTAGATACTACCATCCAATCCCACTCAGTAACATCTGCTGTCTTACAGCCCAATGGTCTCCCAAAAGGAGGAGCCAAACTTTGACCAAGCAGATCAGGTTTGCCCAGGTCAAGGACCTTATCACGGTTCACAGAGCAACTTCACTACATACTTGACTGGATCCCACCAAACGGTGGACAGCAACCTGGACCCAGAAGATAGGAACATGGAGCCTCAAATTTAAGTGAGCAGTCACGCCTGCCTCAGACAACACAGCACTCACAAATGACCAACCAGCCCAGCTCAGGGCAAAGCAGTACTGTCTAGACAGGTACACCTACAGTGAAGTCAGACCACCCCAAGTTAAATCTCAGCTCCACCATCACTCCCTAGCTTTGTGACGTTACAGAACTCTCAGAGCCTGTTTCCCACCTACAGAATGGTGATAGCGTTAGGACCCACATCTCATAGGATTGTTGTGAGGACTGAATGGGAGGACAAGTATCAATGGGCAGCCTACCACCAAGCACAGTTTTCACCAGACAATAGCACTAAGGGTACTAGAGGGCAATCAGTAGACCTGGAGTGGCCAGCTGCCTAGCTAATCCCTAGAAAAGGAGAAGGTCCAGGGCCACCTGGGTGGCTTAGTCAGTTAAGCTCCTGACTGTGGCTCAGGTCATGATATCACGGTTCATGAGTTAGAGCCCCACATCGGGCTCTATGCTGACAGCTCACAGCCTGGAGCCTCCTTCGGATTCTGTGTGTATCTCTCTCTCTCTCTCTCTCTGCTCCTCCCCAACTCACACTCTGTCTCTCTCTGTGTCTCAAAAATAAATAAATGTTGAAAAAAAAGTTAAAAAAAAAAAAAAAAGAAAGAAAAAGAGGAGGTCTAGCCTAGGGGACAGTGAAGATTTAAACAAGACAGAAATTGGGCAATCTCCACATCCCACAAGGGCCAAAAGAAATCAAACATTAATTTAGGCGAGAGCAGAGTCAGATATAACGAAGCACACTATCAGGGAATAACCCTGGAACAGGGCAATCACTGGCTCTACAGGTCACCTAGGAAACAAAGCTCTCTGGCAAAAGGCAGGGAACTGGACTAATACTCCAAGATCTGTATTTCTATACCTCTGACCTGTTGGTTCTGAGTTCCTACAAGTACCAGGCCCCAGGAACTCACCACACCCTGGCCCTGGGGAGTACGTGGTACACAGCAGGCTTCCTGAAAGGTCTACAGCAGACACTGGTCTGTGAACAAGCTTAGACAGATCCAATCTGAGCCAGAGAACTCACTACCCAAACACTTAATCTTCTTCCCTGCAATGATACCACTTGTACAAAAACCCTTTTCTAGGGCTCCAAGAAGTCTAGTCGAGGCTTTTCATTCTCCTCCAGGCCTTCTGAGAATAAAAAGTATACCCCTCATTCCACATCCCCAGCAAAAACCCCAGAGACCACAGGAGCCACTAGCCCTTCCACTCTAAGACAGGCTGATGTCCCACTCTGAGGCACTTCGAGCAATGTTTTCCAAGTCCAACTCTCGCTCTAGCACTCTGTCTGGGCTTGCACGTGCCTGCAGCACAGCATTTCCTGCCAATGACCATCTGCATAAAATTACACTCTTAACAGATCTCAGGAGCCAGGGACACACCCACCAGCCCAACGTACATTATCAGCCAGCGTGGCCACAAACCGGCCAAGGTCTTACGTCCAGCCTCAGAACTTCCCATGGATGTGGGAGGGCAGAGTAAAAAGTAAGGCTCTGTTAGGAAATGAGTAGACTCCAGATTCCCTCACCCTAGTCATTCCTCAGGGCTGCACCCACACAGTCTCTCCTTCTGATGAGTACTCACACTCTGAGCTTCTCCTCTGCCATAGGACCAGCTGCCATCTGGTAAAGCTGCAATCTCAGGGAGATTATGAGCTAACCACAGGCAAGAATAGTGTCACCATCACCTCCCTCTCCTTCTCTCCCTCCTAATTCCAGCCCTAGGCACACTCTAAGCAGAAGCCAGGCACAGGAGGGGAATTCAGGAAATGAACATCAGCTATGTACAGGCTAAACCAGTGGCAAAGTAAGCACTCTCCTGGGCACCCCATTTCAGAGCCTCCTAACTGGGTAAAAAGGCCTATCACAAGTCATAGGCAATCCCTAACTGTCATCATGTCTGCCTGCTGAGCTCTCAGAGAACTGGGGTGGCCCACTATGACAGCATCTCTGGGATGAGGCCCCAGGCCAACTCACTCCATCCTTGCTACGTGGCCTCCTTGGCTGGGCGCACAGCAGACATACTTGGCCATCTGAGATTAAGAAGGCCTCGAAGAAAAGCCCAAACATCTTGCAAGTGTGTTCAAGTGAACAGAAGAGGCCTGGGCTCCAAGGGCCAGAACCACAGAAAAGTGCACCCTAGACGCTTCAGGGGCAGTTTAAACACAAGCGAAAGGACATCTTGGTACATTTAATAGAGAACTAAATCACGAAACCTGTAGTTCCAGATGTGATACAGGGTGAGAAGCAGGAGTAGTTGGCACAAATATTCTATAAATTATTAGGTGGACAGCAGATCTTGGCAAGATCTGGGACATGAGAGAAAGCCCTCAGCTACAAAGTGATACCCTCCAACCCTTTCTTTCAGAACCAGGATCTCCTGAGAGAGCTGAGGCTCTCAGGCCTCAGCCGGTACACATTAAGAAGTATATGCCTTAGGTGTCCCTCTACAGCACAAGACACCAGTCTTGGTCTTGAGAGGAACACTAATGCTGTACACCGTCTTAAAGATGCCATATTAGAATACAAGGCCAGGGGCCCACCTATGCTGTCCTGAAGCTGGAAGTGTCCTGATCCATGCCCATGCTGAGCACCATCCACATGCAAGGCAGAGTACCAGGCACTGCCTCTCACTTGAAACTTTTGTGGTCAGGGTCCATGGGCAGGTATCCCCTAAAATGTCCCTTCCCTCATCACCTTGCCTCTTCTAGAGTACCCAGGTCTGCTCCCACTCACACAGGTTGTTCCTCTGTCCAGGTCACCCTTTATTCAGCCCTCTTCTGACCACTCCAGCTCATAAGTCACCTCCTTCAGGAAGCCCTCTGGCCTGAAGCATCCTGTCCTCTACCAAGGACCCACAGCCTGGTGCTCCCTCCTAACACCACACTCACCACACTGTTTTGGACCTGGACTTTCCTAGTCTTCAATCCGTCTGCTCCAATGGGCTAGAACTCCTTGCAGTTTCTGACACACCGAAGGGTCCGTTTTAATTAAATAGTTACCACAGGTCCACGCAGCTGCTAAGTAAAAATAACGCAGGTTGGAAAGAGATGTCTACAGGAGGAAAAAAAAAACTTTCTCAACCAGCTGCCTGTTTCATGGGTACCAAGCTGGACCCCGCTGGGCCAAAGCCAGAAACTCCCATCCCTTTGGAGAGAGGAAGGCGAACCTCACTAACTTTAAGCGGCCACCCCGGGGCCCAGACGAGGGCCTCCAACCTCTGGCCGCCCTCGGGGCCAGGCCTCCCGTTCCCGTTCCCGGGGAGCCTGCCGAGGCAGGGCGGCCAAGCTCCCCGCCCCGCCCGGCTCGGCGCGGACGCTCAGGGACCGGCAGGAAGGGCGCCGCTGACCTCACCACCCTGAGCTCGGGAAGGCACGCAGGCGGCGGGACAGGAACCCAGACGGGAGGAGAAACAGGGCGGAGGGCTCCGGGCTGCGGCCCGAACTGAGCTGCGGAGAGCGGGCTGCGCGACCCCCGGCCCTCAACTCCCGGTCCCGCGCGGGCAGCGCTCACGGCCCGACGACCCTGGCCCGCGCGCGAGCCCAGCAGCGGACCCGGCGACCGAGCGGGCGGGGCGCTCACCTGGACACGCGCCGCTCCCGGCGTTTCCAGAACCTCCCGCGGCGGCGCCCTGCCCGCTCGGCGCCTCCTCCCGGGGCGGCTCCGCCTCCCGCCGCGGCCCGGCTCCGCCCGCTTGAGCCGCCGCCACGTCCCCACCTCCCGCCCCACGCCGGCCGGCTCGGGCCCTGGCTCGGCGCCCAGGCAGCCTCGACCGGGGGTCTTCACCGCCGGCGACCCCCGGGAAGGCCTGGGGTGCCGAACGCGCGGGAGCCGGGACCCGAGAGCCAAGGAGCGGGCTTCGGGCCGGGCGGGAGCCGCTCTCCGCGCCCTTCATGCCGCCGGCCGCTCGCCGCACGTACGCCGCGCCCGCCTCCCCTCGCTCGCCCCGCTCCACCTGCGGGACTCGGCCCTCCCTTCTTCCCAGTCCCTGGGCGGCTGCAGAAGGGCCTGAGACCCGATCCGGGCGCCAGTGAGATGGGGAGCAGCCCCGACCGCGGGCGGACTTCCCCGGGCTCGGCTCCCGCCCCTCTCCTCGCTGGTCCCGCTGGGCGCACGGGCTCCTGCCGCCCCTCCCCCCTCATCACCACCCTCAAGTTACACCCCCACCAGGGTCGGGGCCGGGATATCAGGGGAGCGGACGGACGGGTGGAGAAGACCTTGAAGAAGACGAGGGACCCGGCGTCCACCCTCAGGGCCAAGCTCCCGAAGAGATTCAGCCTGTCCCCAGCTCCTGTGCCTCTCGCATTCCTCCTGGTGGCTTACCTATGAGTGATGGGTTGATGACAAGGGAGCCAATCAAAGGCTGGGGTGGGGGGTGGTATACTGGGGCCAAGTCTTGGTTTGCCCAAACCCTTTCGTACAACAGGGACCAAAAACAGTGGACACCTCATTTGCCTAGTCCCGTCCGGGCAGGAGTGAGGGCTGGGATGCCGCAAATCTCAGCCTGAGTCCCAGGAGGCCCTGGCGGACAAGCAGGTTCCCACGCCTGCTCTGTGAACCTTCGCGGTCATGAATGAGGGAAACACGGTCTGAGAATCTCATCAGGGAGCTAGCCCAGAGTGGGAGGTGCCCAGCCTCCCGCCCAGGCTGTGTGGAGATATTCCCTATGGCACTCTGTCCAGGCTGGCAGCCCAGACCTGGGGAAGGCAGGAGCACACGCACAGCACTACACATAAGATACGGAACAAGCCACTGTTACGGCCTGCGTCAGCCACCAGCCAGAGCCCAGCGAAAACCAAACAGAAACCTTCCTGCATCTGCTACATCCTGTTATGCCGCAGGAGCCTCCCTGTGTCCAGATTTTCCCGTCCTCTCCCTGCTCTCAGGAGCTTGCCCTGTGGATCATCCCTTCTCTGTCCTGGGTGTTTGACCCCTCCATCTGAACTGAATCCTGCCCTTGACCTATAAATAGATGTGACCCCTTACTGTGGAAAGGAAAGCCTTATTGGATTCCGCCAACTACAGCAGTGTCTCAACCCCAGCAAAATCTCTGAAAAGAATGGTCTGTCAGTCCGTGTCCTCACTTCTCCCACTCCTCAGGCTCCTACAGTGGGCCTTCTGGTATTCTCCCAACACCGGACCAGGTCTCAGTAAACTCTCTATAACTTCCAAGTCTCAGAATTCAATAGCCTCTCTTCGGTTCTCATCTGCCAAAGCCTCCAGCCACATTTGACTGCCCAGGAGTGTCTGACCGCTGCCTCCCTGGAACACTGATTTCCACCACCCTCTCCGGCCACCGCTGCCCCAGCTTCTAACCACCCAGTATATCTTCCTCTCCCCCTCTGCTCATTAGTCCATAAAGTCTGGGGGTTCCTCAAAGCTCAGGTCTAGGCACCCTACTTCCCTCCTATCTAATTTCTTCCTTTACACACATGGCTCACTTCTCTACACTTGCCCTGACTCCCAAGCTCCAGACTCCTTTAACTACCTGCTGAGTCTACATCTCCAGTGGAATGTCCACAGGCACTTCATCCACAACACACTCAACACCGAATCCCTGCTCTCCTTCCTCCTCTCCACACCACCCACATTCCAATTCCTTGCTTCACTGGAAGAGCCACCCTCCATTGGGTACCTAACCAGAAGCCTCGTAATCATGCCCAGGATCTCCCTCTGCCTTGCCCCCAGACTGTATCTTTTCAGATCTCACATCCATTCACTTGGGCCACCTAAATCTCTCTTCAATCCATCCACACTGCAGCTATAGCAATCACCTCAAAATTTGGGTCTGAACCCATCACTCTCAGCTTAGTAAATGGCACTGTTCTTAGGAAGAATCGCAAAGGTGGTCTGTAAGGCCCCACATGGTTTGACCCCTGCTCACTTCTCTAGTCACACTGACCTTCTTCCCATCCCTCTGACTGACCATTCTCTCCTCACCACACTCCCAGGCCTCTGCACATGCTTTTCTTTTTGTCTAGAAAATTTTCCCTCCTCCCCAATTCAATCTTTCACATCCCCTTGGAGGGATTTTCTTCACATCCCTGGCCAGGTCAAAACCTCCTTTAAAAGCCTCTCATGCTGTAAGTGCTTTGTAACATTTGCCACAGTGGATATAACTGAATGATTGTTTGATTATATAATTGAATGTCTGCCTCCCCCACTGGCCCGGGGGCCTCCAGGAGAACACAATCTGTGTATTTTTGCCCATCACTATATTCTCTGCTCTGATCACAGAACTGGGCTCAGTAACTATTTGCTGACTATATGAAGGGATGGGTGTCTCCTTCATGCCTTGCTCCATCACACACCAGTAGCAAAAGGCCTGGCCAAATCCTTCACAGGGCATTAGAGTCCTGGACGCCACTCATTTCTCATTCCTTATAAGGATACTTGCTATTGAATTTAGGGCCTATCTGGGTAATCAAGATGATCTCATCTCATGATCCTTAACTTAATTACATCTGTAAAGTCTTTCTAAATTAGTTCATATTTACAGTGTCCAGGTACAGTGTCCAGGCATTAGGACATGGTCATATTTTTTTAGGGGCCACCATTTAACCCACTCCACCTGACATTCTCTCATACCTTCCAGGGACTACTGACTCTGGGGCAAATCCATGACTCTCAGTTCTGAGTCTATAGCCCAGGCCCACTCCAGACTCACATAGCCTTTAATTAGCAGCCACTTGATAGGTGAATTATCTCCCCATGCCCTACCCACACCCCTGAAGTGTTTCTGCTCCAGTATTTTCTATATCTCAGGAAATGAAGTCAATACCTTCCAGTCATTTCTATTTTCTTCCCTACCACATTCCCCCATTATAGATGTTACCTGGTAGACTAGACTTGTCTGGCCACCACCACCACCATCCCAAGGGAAGGACCTAGTGTCTCTCCAGAAGGGAGGGGAAAAATGCTCATGCTGTGGGGGACCTGGGTGGCTCAGTCAGTTAAACACCCGACTTCGGCTCAGGTCATGATCTTGCAGTTTGTGAGTTTGAGCCCCACGTTGGGGTCTGTGCTGATAGCTCAGAGCCCGGAGTTTCCTTCAGTTTCTGTGTCTCCCTGTCTCTCTTCCCCTCCCCCACATGCACTCTGTCTCTCTCAAAAATAAATAAACATTAAAAAAAAAATACTCATGCTGGATGACTTGTGTGTGCTTCCCTCAAATAGAGGCCTCCTCAGCCTGCCCCTGACCTCCCCAACTTAACCTGTGATCTTTGGGTAAGGGGAGGAAGGGGCAGGCTCCACCGCTTGGTGCTGAGGTCTCACTGATGACTCTTGCAGACCCTGGCTACCACCTCAGCAGCTGTGGTGGCCTGGCCAGGATTTATGAGCACCTGATCCTTCCATAAAATTCCCCAGAGCGGGGGGGCCCACAGGGTCAACCAGTGCTGCACAAAGGGCACTGTGTATGTTGATACTTATCTGTGCAATGCAGCACATTCAGCAGACAGCTGGTCACTGGACTCTGGGACCACCACCCTTCTCAGTCCAAGTGCTTCCCTTCAGGCACTGAGGAAAAACTGGGTGTGTCCCAAATGACCGGTACTTTGACTCAAGGCCAAGTCCAGGGGGCTGGAGGTGTCGCTTGAGTGGGGCCACCTAGTGGTGGACCTACAGCTTCAGAAATAGGACTTTCCAGGTAGTCTGGTGCAGGACCAGCTTGGTGTATGACCCTGGGAAAGGAAAAGAGAATCTGGCAGAATCCCCAGGACTCTGTGGCCAGCCCTGGACAGGGCCAAGTAGGTCCCCAGAAAGTACCCCTCAAATCTCTGCATCCTTTTGGTGCATGCAAAAAATAA